ATTTATATGGATTAAATACTTTTGTAGGAAAAAAAAAAACTGTTTTTCATGCCTTAATTTTTGGTCTTTTTTTGTCTGTTTTAACCCAAAATATTTTGATCTCAATATGGATGCTTTTTGTACAAAGATGGGTGTGACTGTAACTGTTGATATTTGACAGTGTTTCAAGGCATTTTTTTAGATAGTTTTATACAGTGTACTATGTTCTAAGAACGTATTAACACTTTTCTCAGATAAAAAAAAAACTGTTCATACTGAACTTTTTTATATGATGATAACTTTAGCTAATAATAATAGTTATAATTTATTCTTATTGTATGATAAATGGACTTCAAATATATTTATCAAATAATATATCATATTAAATATATATATATTTAATATGATCAAGTATACAAAGATAAATGTGTCTGTGACTATTGATATTTCCTTAGATTAACTTTTCTCACTGAGGGACCAAGACTAAATAAAAAGATGTAATGTTGAATTTTACTTTGAGTTATGAAAACAGTATTTTAACAATGCCGTTAAATAGCTTATGAGGATTTTCTAACGTGTTCATTTCAAAGATGGTTAAGATATTTCAGAAATATCATAATCAAAGTCATTTCTAGCTGGGAAGGGGATGCTGCTGATTTACAAAAGGATTTAGATTGTTTAGTGAGTTGAGCAAGTAAATGGCAAATGGGTTTTAATTATAATAAATGCAAGATAATGCATATGAGTTACCACAATTTGAATTATAAGTATAACTTGGATGGGAATAACCTTAACAATGTCATGAAAAAAGGGATCTTGGTGTAATAGTTGATCAGTCTCTTAAGCCATCCAAGCAATATGTCGTTGCTTGTGATAAGGCAAATAGAATTTTAAGTTGTATCTACAGAAATATGAAATACAAGTCTAAGGAGGTTATAATTTCATTTTATAGGTCACTGGTTAGGCCACACCTGGAGTATTGTGTTCAGTCTTGGGCTTCTTACCTTAGGAAAGACATTGAATTGTTGGAAAGGGTAGGGTAGGAGTCATCTTCAGCTAAGACAGTTTTATTCTTTTAACAGGGTGGTTGGCCTTTGGAATGGGTTGCCTTTAGCTGTTGTGGAGGCAATAAATTTAAGCGAGTTTAAGAGAAAGCTTAAGGGCTGGCTTTAAGATTTATTTATTTATTATTTGTTTTAGTTTAGTTTAGAGGATGGGACAGCCAAGATGCACCAGTACGTCCCATGATGTCTGAAAACATTGTTATATTATGATCAGATAAGCTTAAAAAAATCCTAAAGCTTCTAATTTTACTAAATATTATACTTAAACCATCATTTTTGTTATGTATTCTATTTCATAGTTGTCTCAGAGTGACAAAATGCTACTTATATACATGGTTATATAATTAGCCAAACTTCAACTGCTAGCCAGTTTACATGTGCCTCACTATTTTCTCGAAACTGGTGGTTGTTTTCATCTCTCTCTACTTTTTAAGTGATGAAGGAAATTGTAGTAATAAGTTTTGTAATGTATAATATATTCTAAGAATATGTTAATGTAGGCCTTGACAAAATATCTAGGAGCCAGGTGCATTCTAACTTAACTTCATTACTGTTTGTACCAGAAAATGGGAGCGACTTTAGTGCCTCAATTATCTGTGCCTCTGTTATCCATTATCCTCGATTATCTGCAGTTTTTATTTTCTCAAAATAACTGATATTACGATGGTAGAAAATAATTTACATGTTTTGGAGAAAATGTTGCCCAGAATTTAATTTTGGTTGCAAAAGTTCATGAGTTGCATGATATGCGGGGTTTTGGGGTCCAGGATCTGGCATGCATTCAAATCGTAAGTTGGCCGGTTTAAGCCTAACCTTGCATCTTTTATTTTTAACTTTTAAGACAGGAATACAAAATATTTGTAGCTTGCTTAACTTTATTTGATTAGTGGTTAAAAACATACTATACAAAATACACATTAAGATTTCTTAAAGATTTTACTCAACTTCAGTTGTCATCTGCTGTTCTATGCCTAACGGCTGGCATCCTTTAACCACAGATGCATGCTCAGGTTCTGTTGGTGTGTCACTCAGTTACACATTGTCCTCATCCCAACAGATAATTAGTATCTTCAGTCTGTTTTAACATAGACTTTTTGTAATAATTCCTCAGCATAGATTTGCTCCGATTTTTAAATTATTTTTCACAGGCGTTGATACTGTGAGATTGCACTTCCATGTCTGTAGTAGAAAAAGTTCCAAAATTTAGGAGCTATTTACGCCAATATTAGCATTTATATTTAACTAAAACAGGAACGGGCAATCAAAAAAGAATGTATTATAGGAGAATAAGTGGAATTGGAATTGTGTAACTCACAAAATTTGAAGAAATTAAAGGTGAAGAATGACACTTGGCTTTTTTTCATTATGATTGTGCTGACTTTTATAATTTTTCATGATAATGTGATAAATTACAATAAAAAGATTATAATTTAAAACAAGGAACTTAAATATATTGAAAAATGTTATTAAAATTAAACAATGGGCTAATTAGTGATATACTCTAGTGCCTGGATTATCTGCTGTTTCTGTTATCCGATATTTTTTTATTTTCTTGGACCATCATGGGTAATCGAGGCACCAGTGTGTATTTATTTACTTTCATAGTAATGAGTGCATTCTAAAGATCACATGATATCAACAATGACTTAATAGTATTGCCTGAACTAACTGCCTTTGGTTCCATCTAAGTCTAAGCATGTGCAGTAATTGGTTAAATTGAAAGAAAGAAGTAAAGCAAAATGGCATGAAGTTAGTAATATATGGTGTCCAACCTTAGCACTTCTTTCCTGAAGAAACAGGAAGAAGTATTAAATCCACCATTAAAAAGGTCTGGCATGGCCAGGTGGTTAGGGTGCTCGACTCACAATCTGTGGGTCATGGATTTGCATCCTTGTCCCACCAAACATGCTCGCCCTTTCAACCATGGGGGCATTATAATGTGATAGTCAATCCCACTATTCGTGGGTAAAAGATTAGCTCAAGAGTTGGTAGTGGGTGGTGATGACTAGCTGCCTTTATTTAGGACTCAAAGAACAAGAAAATAGTTCCGGACTTCCAAGAGTCCAGAACTATTCTAGATTCAAGTTCTATTTAGCACAGCCCTATGCAAGAATGAAATGGGAAAAAATACTAGGTGCCACAATAAAAATTTTAGTCACCATGGTGCCCGGGGCTTGTGGAGGCCATTTTTAATGTTTGTTTCCAGAATATTAATAAGTAATGTAGAGAATTTATGTGTCATAATACTTTTAGATGATAACGGTATGTTGTGTTCTGCTGATAATGGTATGTTGTGTTCTGCTCTAAGCTCATAAATCAGATACATGGAGTGATATTAATTTTATACTTCGTATTTCTTCATATATATCTAATACTATACATGAGAACCATACTTGGACTGACTGAGAATTTGTTATAATGTTTGTTTGAAAACTGAAGTAAAAGAAAGTTATTATTTACATTTATTAAATTTAGTAAAGTGAGTATTCAATATTTTTTATTCTAGGAAGAGATGGTTACAGAGGAAGTATATATTAACTATCGCTTTCATTTTCTACTGATTGGCACCAGAAGGTGCATCAAGGCGAAAATAATGGATCGATTTAATGTAGATCTCGAGTTTGGTAGCATCACTGACTTGAATCCTAATGTGGTTACAATAATAGGAATGAAAGATAATGTGAAAAATTGTAAGGATTACTTGCTGAACTTCAGAGAAAAGTATGTAAGTAACAAAATATGGGAATTAGGTTTTAGTTTTAAGGTGATCATTTTTTTTAATTCCTCAGATTTTAATTACATGAATAAAAGTTGGTTTTTAAATTGATCTATGGTATACATGTTTAAGAAATAGATAAAGAAAAATAAGTGTCAATCAAGGGTGGCAGCAGGGGGGGATGCTGTGGCCCCTACACCCAACAAAAAATCCTGTACAAGTCGGTTTACTTCCTAAATGTAACAGTATATGTGTTTACAAGAGGTATAGTACTGACCCCCCTAACCCTAACCTCAGGGTTACTGGATTGATAGCAACTAGTGTTTTTATTATTATTTTTTGGAATTGTATCTAGAGTTTATCATTAAACTAAAATTATGCAGGCAATTATATATGCCTGGTATTTAATTTTATTTTGTACCTTTACCTATCATTAAATAGCAGGAAACTCTTGCTTTAAAAGGCAATTTTTTCTATCTTTTCCTTGGTTTGAATACTGAGAATTTTAGGATTTAAAAAATGTAATAATGAGTTAATATTTTAATAGTTGTTTGTCCAATAATCAGATGCAAAATTTGGAGATACTTAAGAAAGTATTTTAACTTCTCGAGTTTTGAAACCATGTGACCTACGTTGCAGATGGTTCAAAACAAAATAAAGTGTGCTTATATAAACGGTTAGACCTCCAGTAAGTAATTTAGTCATGATTGAAAGACAGATATAAGGATTGGAATGTACAAATTCAAACCCTTGTCAGCATTTACTTGTCATCTTATTCATTTGTCACTATTTTCTTCGCTTAGTTTGTTTTTGTTCAACAAAAACTGAAATAATACTTCTAATCAATGCAGTTACCTACATAAAACTGAAAATTAACATAAGAAATGATTCAGATGATTTAATATACTGGTATAACTTGAGTACACATTGCCCCAAAACAGAATATCTTATAAAGATTAGAATGTATTAGTTCATCATTTGGGTACTCTCACTCTTAATGATATTTCTGGGTTGTCCCACAGCAGAACAGTGTTAAGTTTGTGGACTTACAATGCTAAGATCCAGGATTTGTTTCCTCACAGTGGCCAGCTCAATATGTCTTTTTGGCTGTAGTTCTTATTTCCCATTTTTATAAAATGTTCTGTCTTCTTAAAATATATTAACTTATTTTATAACAATAGTAACTGATTAAAAGATTGTTTATGTGATAATTCTATACACCACGATAATTTGTTACTGTAAGTATAACATCAGCCTTAATCTTATTATCGGAGCAATAGATTTTATCTTATTGACTTTGTACTTCAAGTATATGTGTCCAAAAACTGTAAGAATTTACTTCACTAGATCGAGAAATTATAAATTTTTGCACAGTAGTATTTCTGGTTTTTAGTATTTTTAAACTAGAGATAGATAGTTACTCGAGTTTAATCTTGACAGATTGTAAAAAGAAGGCGCAATGAAAAAATGATTATGGGTCGCTATCAGTCTTCATCATCTTCAGTCCAATTTCCTTTTAACATAGAATTCAATTCTGAAAACACAGGAACAACGAATAATACAGAAGATTTAGAAAATACCTTTATGAATGTAGAAGAACAATGTGTAAGTAACACAAGGGTTTTACTTTTAATTGTTAGTAACTACCAAACAGAGCAAAACTAAAAAATCAACCTGGCTTTGAAAATAGCTAATTAAATATACATTTCTCGTGTTCTTACTAATAATGTCTAGTTTGTCAAGTTACCACTAGTTCTAGGTTTCAGTAAATTATGAATACATTATTTATTTTGTATCATGACTCTAGTTTCTACTGTTGTAACTGCATTTTGAATAAATATTGTGTAGATATCTTGAAAAGCTATGATTGAAGATATGTAAAACTGGGGTTATTTACCCCCCTGTTAGATTTACCACAACTCTTCTGTCCAAAATAAACACACCATAAAAACATTTTGAATAAATATTGTGTAGATATCTTGAAAAGCTATGATTGAAGATATGTAAAACTGGGGTTATTTACCCCCCTGTTAGATTTATCACTACTCTTCTGTCCAAAATAAACACACCATTCGTGAATAAAATAAAGAAATTATTTTTGTTTGTGTAGAATAAAATTTGGTTTTTTTCCTGTAAAATACCAGCTATTCAAATAACTTCATATTTAACTGTATGATGTTTTCCATTATTAAGACTTTGATACTGTTCACAAAATAGTTTTTTGTAAACAAATTCTGTTGGCAGAGATTAAAAACAAACCTGCTACAACATGAGATAGAAGTTTTCATTTGAATTATATCATGATGACATTGGCACTTATCAAAATTACTAAGTATTTAAGTGGGCTAAGAAAATAGATGAATTGTAATAAAACGAGCACTTCTTTCTTCAGTGGTTAAATGAGAATAAGAGAGATGTGGTAATTCTTTCACCAAACACACAATATAATAACCTTTTCTTTAGCCTTGAGAAGTGTGATATTAAGTAAATGTTCTGAGAAACAGATTTGCAACAAAATCAGTACTTTGAAAGATTATAAATGTTGCGTATTAATTCACAAGTTTTATAAATATATCCACGAATAATTATTTTACTTAATACTTCTTACAACCTGAGAACACAGTTACAGGACATGTCATGAATGAGATATGAGCAAATATACAACACCGTATATGTCCTGTGTGTAAGCCCGACACTCTGAAGGTTGTTCATCTATAAATTTGGCAATGAAAGAGATAAGTAACGAAAACACTGTCTGGACATATATAACCGAGGAGAATACATGAAGTATACTGAATCCATTTTTATTTACCTTTTTAACCTTAGCCCATTTTATTCCAATCAAAAACCTGTGGTACTCAGGTTTGACTTTCAGTTCTACCGTAAATCTGGACTGTTGCTGAAAGAAAAACACGAGCTAATTTCTGCACAAATATTTGTCTATTTATTTACTCTGATATATCAAACTCGACTGCATTCTTACATTTATTTTACAGATATTTTAGCGATAGTTAATATATACTTCCTCTGTAACCATCTCTTCCTAGAATAAAAAATTTTGAATACTCACTTTACTAAATTTAATAAGAGACAGAAAGGACATCATTAATTATCACTATATTGTCACACTCTCACTAACGTTCACGTGTTTTTGTTCTTTGTTTAACATTATTTTCATCTTAACTTAGATATTTTAAAAACAGATTTTGTACTCTCAAATTTATTTATTTCATAGTTTTCATTTTGTACAGATAAAAAAATATCACTACATTTTTACATTTTGGTGTTCTGTGTGCACTGATGGAAAACAGAACTGCTTGAAACAAGGATACATTGTGAGGCAAAGCTTAATATTTTTGCCAATAAATACTATCCAGGATGTTTTGTTATATGTTAAGTGTTTTAAAGTGTGGTGTTTTGTATGAAATCTAAACTTATGCTTCCAGTTTGTCATTCCTTTTGGCATGGCCAGGTGGTTAGGGTGCTCAACTCACAATCTGTGGGTCGTGGGTTCGAATCCCTGTCACATCAAACAAGCTCGCCCTTTCAGCC